TTCCTTCCTTTGACATCGCTGCTGTGCAATGCCTTGTTGTGCATATTTTAAAACCTCCCAGTGTGTGTGTGTGTGTGTCTAACGTCCAGATTCTTCCACACGGAACATTTTACTATGCATAAACGCAGTGTTATTTGTTTATGTTAATTAATATATGTAGAGCCACATATTGCACTCACTACGGTTTTTATTTCTCTCATCATCCATCACCAGTTTTGTGCGTCATCAGTCAAAGAGGCGGAGGACTGGGTGCAACAGATAGACTTTGTTTTGAGAGGTTTGGACTCAAAAAACATTTTTTTATCACTTTTTTTCAGTGACATTAATGGCAAAAATGTTATCCTTTGTAAATGTGTAAAATATATTAAAAAAACGCAAAATATTTGTCCATATATGTCTATACATGTAGAGAAGTGTAAATGTATATGTGTGTGTGTATATACAGTATATAGACATATATATATTATGTAGTTATATATACATACATCTACACACACACATGTATTTATTTATTTATTTATTTTGATTGAGATGTCAAAGCTGAAAGGTCAACGTATGACCTCTCCCTGTGTACAGACTTGACAGGCGTGATCCCAGAAGAAGAGTATGAACAGGAAATGTACGACGATGTTGGTGCTCCGGTCCAACCCATCGATGAGGACATCTATGAAGAGCTTCCAGGTCTGACCTCACATTATTTCATCATGTATTCATGTAATTTTAAATGAGTAAAGTCAATTGAAACGCATTTGTTTTGTGAATTCCAGCATTAAAAATAAAATTGACTTCAAATGATTCAAAGTGAATGTGTCTTGTTTCTCCAGAGGATTCTCCACCAAACCCTGCCCCGAAGGTGGAACCACTGTCCAAACCAGCTCCTCCTCCTCCTGCTCCAGGTACACAATTACATTTGAAATTACATTTTTCTTTTTTGAAAATATATATGAACTACATTCAAAAAGTCTCCAAGCAGTTCATGTTCCTGTTATACAAACTAAGAAAAGAAGTAAAAACCGTCTTCCATCTGTAAAACACCTTAGTTTAGTTTAGCTAAAGTCTGGTTATTAGCCTGGACACCATGGAATAAAAAAAGCCACACACACAAGTTTCTGTGCAACTGAAAGTTCTCACAACGCTGGAAATAGTTTTTGCACAACTTCCTCCTTCAACACCAAGTGTTTTACATATTCACATGTTCACAGATGAATTTGCCTGTTGTCAAAACCTCATTTGTTTTTGTTGAACTCCATGCTTCATGTAATATAACATCATTATTCCCCTTTGTTTTCCTGTACATTTTGTCCTGTTGTTGTGCTCGTTGAGCTCTGACTGGAAACACAGAGCGTTGTTGCCACATCAGTGGATTACACAAAAGAGAAGTCGTGTCTGTGTCACTTCCACTGTGTTGTCTTTGCACCTCCTCCTGTTGGCTCTGCCCCACAAACACATTTGGTGTGAGGAGCAGCCACAAAAACTGTACAAGTCAATACCAGTCAACAGGGTTTTCACAACAGTTAACAGTTAAAGGACCATGTTGTTTTGATGGTATTTTACCAGAATCACACAGTTTTTGTTTGACTCCAGCTGTCATTTCCTTTCTGTATTACTATTTTTTTTTTAGCCGTCGATAAGGCCACAGACTACCAGAACTACTACCAGGGTCTGTGGGACTGTACTGGAGACCAGACTGATGAGCTGACCTTCAAACGTGGAGATCCCATCTACATCCTCAGCAAGGTCTGTCTATCTTTTTGCCTTAAAGTTTATCTCCAAAACAGCTTAGAATGTAAGGTTAAAATGAATAAAATCATACAAAATAAATTTAATTCTCCCACAACCGTTAACAGCAAATGTAGTAGATGATAAATGAAAAAAATCATAAAGCAAATTTAAAAAAAAAATAGATAATACATATATTAGACAAAAATAACCCTCAATATAACAATGAATGAATAAACAGAAAAAGCCAAAAATGTCTAAAAAATGTACCCCCAAAAAAGGCTAGAGTTCGGTGAAAAAAGAAATCTTAAAAATTAATCAATTTTCAGTTTTGACCAAATAAATAACTTGAAATGAGCAAAAAGTTAAGGTTAGCTAGTTATTTTAAAATAGGTTAAAGTATTGGAAAATTAACATAAATTGTCCATATATAAAAAGTTGCTACTATTCCACAAACGTTTTGGTGAACGAGGCTAACTTAGATGTAGGATTAGCCTCACGTAGAGCTTAGCTAGCTTACACCAAGTCATTTGGCATCAGGGTTAGCCGTGGTGACTCTCCTGTGATGACATTTAGCTGTAGATTTAGCACAGAGCCAACAGTACAGCAGTCAGAACGGTCCTGTCTGTGTCAGACCACCTCAGAGGACCCGACTGTTCTCAGCCTTTACTGGCAGAGTGTGACCCGGCACCTGGAGGTGTGTGGCTGATGGGAAGAGGCAGACTGGGCTGGGTTTACTCCTCTGGCACTGTGACGGCGATTAGTTGTGTCACAAAGGAAGCTGTTTTAGTGTTGTTGGCGGAAGCCGAGCTTTGCTGGCACACAGTGCCATTCCATCACTTCCATCTGGACTCTTTCAGCACAACACCACCGCTGCTGCTGCTGCTGCTGCTGCTGCTGCAGCAGTGGTCCACAGCCCACACACCTCTGGGCCAGACACACTCTCTCACCTCAACAAATGTGGACTGAATGTTTTAACGAAGCCAAGCTCAGTCCAGAACTCAGTTCAGAGCTGGTGAGGACGTTTCCATGTATAGTTGACCAGGTGTGGTTGACAGGTATTGGTTTGAATGCTCAGCGGCCCACCAACAGCCCACCAACAGCCCACCAACAGCCCACCACGGTGTGATCATCTGTGAGGATGCTGCCCTCTGTTCGCATTTTCTTTACAAAACTTTTTAAACGATATTTGGGACTAAAATCATTTATCAGTAGAAAATACATGCAGTAGGTGGCAGTAGTGCAACTCAGTGGATTCCGGTTGTCGGCAGCTGATGGGCCAAAGTGTTTAAGGAACAAGCTTTAAAAGTTGTCGGTTTGATTCCGGGCCCTTGCATGGCTGTGGTGTGTTGTGCACAGTAACATGCAGCCCACTGCTGTAGGAGGGTTTGGACTGTTTTCTCATCACACAGCCTGAAACAATAACAACACCACCACTAGATGTAGCTAGATGCCACTAACGTGCTTTTAAAAATATACATTGATTTGAAAAATATCCAAACAATTGCAAGACTGTCTGGTCTGGAAACTGTTGAGTGTGTTGTCGTCTGTGTGACACTCAGCCTTTTCCAAATTCAAGTGTGCCATCTAGTGGTAAAAACATGTCCTGACTGCTGTGCTACTGATTGAATTTTAATGAGTAAAACCAGCAGCGATACATTAAGAATAAAGAGATAATTTTGCTAAAAAAAAAAAGATTAATTAATTATTTATTTTTTCTTGGTTATTATAGAAGTTTCTGGAAAATAGGTAAAAAAAATCAAACATTGCTTTATTTATTTTATTTAGCAAAATTTTAAAGTTATGTAATATTAATAATATATTTTTAGACATATTTTTACAATCAACATTTTTAATGTTTTTGACAAACATGTTATACAATTGTTTTTTTAAACTTTGGTTGATTAACTAATTGTTGCATTGATCCTCCATCAAAGGGAAGAAAGAAAAGACCAAAACACAGACAGAGCTGTCACTGCTCATTGGCCAAATGCCTGTTTATGACTCTTCCTCCTCCTCCTCCTCCTTCTCCTAGTCCTCTGTCTCCTTCTTCTTCTCCTCTTCCCCCTCCTCCATCTTCATGCGTGGAAAAGGACCAAGAATCAAGTTGCTCTTTCTCTCAGACTGGGAGTGCCATTAGCTGAAACCTTGGTGTTGGGGGTTGTGGCTTGCTGCAGGGGCAATGACCATAAAACGTGTCTGGACTGCAGCAGCCAGCTGCAGCTTAAAGTGGACAGCCGACCTCCCCCTCCTCCTCTCCATCCCCACTGCTCCTTTCTCCTTCTTCTCCCTGTCCCTCCCCCATTCCACAGCTCAGAAATAACTGCAGTGTTACAGCTGTGAGACCCCCCAGTCAGGAGCTGGGGGAGAGGGAGAGAGCAGTGTGTTGCCTGGATATGCTGCTGCTGCTGCTGCTGCTGCTGCTGCTGCTGCTGCAGGAACCCACCCCCTCGTTCCCACCGCTGCCTCCTCCAGGTGCGAGTCACTGCACAGAAAACTAATTAGGAGTTGTAACGTGTGGCTCTGCAAATGTGGGTCAGTGGGTTGGAAACAGGTGAAGCTTTAAAGCCTTCAGATCAGACAGACTCCTCCGTACTGTGTGGGTTGAGGAAGTACACACTGGAAGAGTTTTTGTGAGTACTACAGTAACCACAGCAGAACCACAAATCTAGAGTTTTCAGGACATAAGAACGTGGAACCGACTCCTTATTCTTTATATGCGGTTTGACAGCCGTACTACAGTTTTTACAATACTACAGTATTATATATTTTTTACTGTGTGTGGTCCTAATTAGCAACATAGAATATTATATATTTATATATGTTTAATATTATTATATATATTTCTTTTTCAATAAGCTGTCTTCCCCATTGGATTCTAACACAAGCAGGCATCCTGAGAATTGCATGACTGCCACCTACTGGTCTACTCTAACACTTGAAATTTCCCAAATGGTAAAAATACATTCTGATCAGAAGAGGGACGCATCACTGCAGATAAACACACTGCTGATATCTCATCCACCACTTCTCTGTCATGAAGTCAATCATTTAAAAATGTATTATTTTATGGTGCAGTATACGCTGCCGCACCCCCCGTTTTGGAGACCGCTGTGTTAGACTACAGGTGTAGCAAATGTAGGTGATCAATATCACAGTATTTACGTTGCTGTGTGTGTGTGTTTGTGTTGTAGTACGGATGTGTGTGTTTCCATCAGTGGTCCACAGCTGTGTGGACGTGTCCATGTGTTGTGTCCCACACTCAGTCAGCCATGACTTATTTGTCAGCCTGAACAACACAATGAAGTGTTGCTGTTTTCAAAGGCTGGCTGCAGGAAGTCGTAATGCGTGTGCACGCCCACGTGCACGCCCCCTCACGCACACACACTGGGTTTTACGCCCTCTTATACACACCTCATGTGAGTCTGCTCCCATGTGCCCCCGGGGGCCACTGATGGAGTGACATTTCCATCAGGCCACACATAAAAGAAATGGATGTGACTATTTCTGTTTATTTGAGGTTAATCATTTCAGATGAACTAATAACTATATTGTGTGTTCACACTATGACCCGACTGCTGCACCACAGACACCAAGTCAAACTCCGTGGCTGCTGGACACGACTGTTGTTATGGTACTCTTCCTGTGCCCGACGCTGCCCTGTGATCACCGACATCCTCTCGTCTCTCCGGGGAATAACTGGACACATGTGCTTCGTCCTCGTCCCCGTGTTCTGTTTTGAATTTGTAACATTGTACAGGCTCCTCTTCCTTCAGCTTTGTCAGGACGGGATCTCCCGACTTGATTCATGTCCCGGGGAGACTTTGATGGGAGTTCAGGCCTCAGCCCAAGAAAGGGAGAGCGGGATATCTTTGCCTCTTGTCTCAGATCTCTGCTCACAGTGTCCTCCTCACATCTCAGCATGGTGACAGCCATTTGGAGCTATTACTTGTCAGGCTGTGACACATTTATGTTCTGTGTGCACCGTCCACACTGGGCTTTTTGTGTGGAGCAGAGGAAAGTGTGCTCAGTCTGAGACAGCACAGGACAGGGATTACAGAGAGTTATAGGATGGTTTAGGTGTGGGAGGAAAACGAAGGCTGTTGGATGCACATGTGGAGCCGTTCCATCGGTCAGACAATGAAAAAGCATCAATGTCCTTTCCTTAACTTTGTTTTTGCTTAAGATCCCTGAGTTGCTGGTTCAATTCCCGGTCTTTAGGCATGTTATTCTCTGACTTTCTTGTATTGGCAGATTAGATCAATAAGAGACTTTTGATTGACCATAGCTGTGGACGTGAGTGTGAATGATGTTTTCGTGACTGCTGAGTTTGGCTCCATCTGCTCCGTGTTTTGGAAGTTGTAGTCTTTGCATCAGTTTAACTCTTCCACTTTAGTACTTTTTAGTCCCATCTGCAGGTACTTCACAATAAATAAATATAATAAATAACAATACATATGTGTTTAATAGCTAGCAAGAAAAATATTATGATATATATTCCGTAAATTTAGATAAACAGTCCCTTTGTGATTTGTACACATATATGTACATGCACAAACACATATGTACATATATATGTGTATATAGATGTGTATTTATCTATAGATACATGTATATTAACACAATTTTGACTAGTATATATATATACATATACATCTATATAGCTACATGTATATTAACACAATTTTGACTATATGTTAGGAGTTGTACTTTTACACTAAACATCACACTAAAATCAACAAATACATATATCCATATATGTATATATGTGTATATAGACATATAGTTGTTGTCATATATATATATATATATATGTGTGTGTGTATGATTTTGACTATATGTTAGGGCTTGGACTGTGACACCTACTGAAATCATTTTCTGGTATAATGAAGGTCAGTGGTTATCGGCTGCTAATGTCTGAGCCTTTTCCGTCTGTCTTTTACTCAGGAGTACCAGAACTATGGCTGGTGGGTTGGAGAGAAGAATGGAAATATAGGAATTGTCCCTAAAGATTACCTGATGCAGCTTTACATTTTGTAAATACAAACCATGTGAGTTGGAATTTCTCCATTTATGAGTTCAAGACAAAACTTTTAATTTGGAATTATTAAACTTAACTAAAACTTTTTTTTAATTTGTTTTTTGTTTTTTTAGGCTTGACCCTTCCTTGATGGAACAACTTTTAACGTCACTGTAGGAAAATGATCCTTTCTACTCTCTGCCTCTCATTTCTATTTATTTTCTGTTTGACTATTTTTCCTCCTCTACATTCCAAACTTTGCTTCTGGCCATAAAAATGAATAAAAATTCAATTATAACTGTTGCATCAGTACATTTGTTTTAATTATTAAACCAGAATTCAAACCACAAGGTGGCAATAGAGTCTCTTCGGGGGTCATAGATTAGCTCTGCTACAGTGTGGAGCTCCCTGCCAGAGATGCTGTTGCCAGGTTTTGCCATCTTGGAGCGTCACTGACAGATTGAAGAAAGAAAATGAAAGTATTTCCTGGGGAAAAGACACTGGCGTAAAAGGAGAGTGTGTGTGGATTTAACAGCCTGCTGAATGACAATATTTGCCTTCTGTAATCTGTGCAGTTAACATCAGGTCACTGGAAAGTCCAAATCCTGTGTGCACACTTACTGCATGTGTCCAAAGCCCCGGGAAGAATGAGGGGTTATTTATTTATTTTTAGAGCAGAGTTTATTCATGTGGTCAGCACTTTTGTTCAGGCCTTCACAGGGATCCTCTGTGTGTTTTTATGGCACCTGAGAGACAGTGCTGGGCTGAGGACCACAGAGTGGCAGATGGCTGGCTGTGCCGCGTGCCTGAGTGAAACTGCGGCGGTGCACTAATAAGACAGCCACGCACACAGACAGCGGCGTTGCTTATCACCCTCCGAGGGGCTGTTTGACAGCAGGCGATGTGGCATTAGCCAGCCATGTCCCACAGAGGCTACATGTATATACTGTACATGTCTTTTTACAGCGCTCTCGCTAAAAGAACAACATTCCTCTTCTCCACCCTTCAGGCTCCATCACACATTTTTCCCGCCGTTGTGTCTCAGACACAAAAGAGTCCTTGTCAAGGTTTTCCCAAGGTTAGGAAGAAAACGAGAAGATAACCACGTTCGCTCTCCAATAACTCAATACGTCTTCGTCTTCTTCTTCGCGCCTTGATTTTTTCCTCACTCCTGTCTCTCTGTTTTGTTCCTTTTGAGTGATGAACTCGTCCTCCGTCCTCTGGGTGACATTCAGAGCCGTCATAAATCCCGCTCTTTGCTCCACGGTGCGGCGATAAAGCCTCTCTGCTAATTGAAGATGTAATGAATTACCATAATTAGTTATTGAATATGCTACATTGGATATGAAGGGAAGAAACACCTTTGTTTCAGAGAAAGGAAACAGTCAGTGGGGGAATCACCAGATGGCAACTCCTGAAACATTCCCTGGAATTGAACCCACATCCTTCCATCGATGTGTGCCGTGATTTAAACACGCTGCTGGGTTTGATTCTGAGTTTTGGACCGGGGGAATATTTCCATGCTGACAAACAGAATGTGCACCTTTTTAATGTTGGTCTTTACCTCTGCCAAAGGCGACTAAGGCTAAATATTGCCTCTCATTTTTATGTGCCAATAAAGGATTTCCTTAATGGATGTCAACCGCGTCCCCCTCCCCCCCGTCCCTCCCCCGTCAGAGTTGGACAGCCATATCTTCAGAATATACAGGTCCTTTTATTGCAATTTAACATCAAGATATAATGTTTCATAGATAAATGCCACCCTGGTGTTAATTTAGTGAGCACTAAATTACACTAATGATACCGGAATATCACTAATTAATACTCGCCACCATAAAGACGCACTTTTACATTTAGGTTTACTGAGAAAAATGAGGGAAATATAAAACAAATTCCCTGTCATTACAAAACACAGTGAGGTAGTGATTAAAAGAAAAAGAAAAAGAAAAGACAAATGGCTTTAAGTCCATCCATAGATAATTTTTTTCTGACAACCATCACAATTATGGGATGCCTGTTTGGTTTTCTTGGGTCAACTTTTTGACGTATTGTCTTTGTGTAAATAACCCTCAGGGAGCAGGGGGAGCAGGAGAACCCCGTGGCTAAAAGGATGGCTGCTCGTCTTTGTCCAGGCCGGGAAACATCATCATCTGAAACCATTACCCCCGGGGTTACCAAAGAGACCTGATCTATACCACTTTAGAGGGGTAATCTTGATCAAGCTGTCAGCTGTTTCTGCTGCTCTTTAACCAGGTCACTCAGCCATACATCACGCCGCAGCTTCACGGAGAGTTTCTGTCAGGAATAACACTACCTTATTTATGTGGTATCCCCTGGCATTTTGCAGGAAATGTATTACCTCTCCAACTGGCCCACTGTCAGCATTCCATTAAAGCNACTAGACACTTTTTAAATGCAAGTCACTCTTAATTGAGGTCAGTTTCTGTTAACGTAACTCATGTCAGCTGAAAAATTAAGGTCCTCCCAGCGGCTCGTGACACTGTGGAGGGATGTGGAGCATGTCAACGAAAGCAGGAGGAAGAGCGCCACATAGAGAGTCAGATGAAAATTAAGTTCTTCAAAAGTCATCATCTTTACGAGACTTTTCTATAGTTTGTCGGAAACGCTTTAGAGACTTTTCTATAGTTTGTCGGAAACGCTGTCTTCTCTTTTCTCCATCTTTTCTTAGTGGTTGGGACAGTTCCAGTCGAACCAGTAGGTGGCAATAGTGCAACTTGATGGATGGATAGCAGCAAATTTGTCCAGTTCAGCTCAAATTTGAAATTACGTAGATGTACTTGTTAGTGTTGTTTCATCTGATTTTAGCAGGACTGGAAATCTGAAAGTGCTTAAAAGTGTGACTTTCATAAATGTGTCTAATTGATCAAATTAATTTCCTCTCACAATGGTTTTTCAATCTGAAATGTTAAAGTGCACAGATCGTCGGCGGCCCAGAAATACGGCCCCCCGACAGGCCGTTCATTAGGAGCAACAGTTTCTCACAAACACCTTCTCTGCGTCTTCCCATATAATAACTCTGCGTGAGCTGCACATGTCCAGTGTCAGGAAGTTTTGAGCTGCACATGTCCAGTGTCAGGAAGTCCTTAAATGCACCGCAGCCGTCAGGCCCCACGTGGACGGCGGACGGCGTGGTCTTCCCGCTGATGTATTAAAGTGATAAAGCTGTTACTGCTTCACTCTGCCTTGTCATCTCCCTCACTTTCTCTGGGCTTCGCTGGAACAAACGGCTGCTGTTGCTCAGTGTGCGGTTGGCCGCCGCCGCTGTCAGGCCCGGCAGAGCTATGTGCTGACATGTCACTCAGGATAAATCAGGCTTATCAAAGTGACAGGTGTTTGTCCACCTGCCATAAACATCTCCCACGCCCGGCTCCCGCTCCATCTCCGCACGGATTATTTACAAGGCTACAGCCTGTGTACTCTGGCCCTGTTTACTCTCTGTCTGCGGCTCTAATATCAGGTCAGCGCTCCGCCGCTGATTTACTCTGCTAGTTAGTGAGGTGAGTAATGGCCGTGGGTGGTCTGGGAGGAGCGTTGTAATCAGGAGAGGTCAGAGATGTGAGAGATGTTCTAACTGTAATTACAGCCCTCTCCAAACGCTGATCCTGTGCAAACCGATCAGTCCTCCCTCAGCTTCTCTTCTTCCCCCGTCTCTTACCCCCCACAGTGCCAGATGCCACTGGTTGTAATGACCTGGCATCGAGGTTGAGAACCCGTCTCGGTGTCAAGTCAGCTGGTGGCGGTGTCATGGCGGCCTAGAGTAAGGCTGCACTGTCGCTGTGTTGGGTGGAGTGTCTGGTCCTGGTCCTGGTCCTGGTCCTGAATGTGCATGGATGGTGTTACAGCGTAACAGCACACCCACACACACACACAGGTGGAGTGTCCTGGTCCTGGTCCTGGTCCTGGTCCTGGTCCTGGTCCTGGTCCTGGTCCTGGTCCTGGTCCTGGTCCTGGTCCTTGTCCTGGTCCTGGTCCTGGTCCTGGTCCTGGTCCTGGTCCTGGTCCTGGTCACACCCAGTCTGAGGACACTCAGGCCTTTGAAATTCACTGTCGAGAAGTTTACATTGTGGAAATTCACATACTGTATGGTACACAATCTGTGGTTCACGGTCCTGATCCAGGTCCGTTAAAAGTAAATGTAAGATATGTTTTGAGCAACATTTGTATATATTAGGGATGTCCGATGATATCCGACTGTATTAGCATAATTATATGCTATCGGTAAGAATTGTTATTGTTTTTTTCTTGCGATGATGAAAACTGAACGATGATGAAGGGTTTTGCCCCTGATGATGTGACCTAAAAATAGTTTTGAAGTAAAAGTGAATTATTGTCATTGTGATACAGACCACGACTGCATACGTCTCCTCTGCCTAAACCAGACACCTGCATGTATCGATATCAAATGATATCCGACTGTATTAGCGTAATTATATACTATCGGTAGGAATCGTTATTGTTTTTTTCCTGCGATGATGAAAACTGCGATGCCAAGGGTTTTGCCCCTGATGATGTGACCTAAAAATAGTTTTGAAGTAAAAGTGAATTATTGTCATTGTGATACAGACCACGACTGCATACGTCTCCTCTGCCTAAACCAGACACCTGCATGTATCGATATCAGTTAATATCGGAATCGGAAACTAAACTGTATACTGTAAATATATGTTATATATTTATATATACATAAGGTTGTAAAACTTCATGTTGTGGCTACCAGCATGTCCCACATTGTCCCATTCAAATATTATCTTCTCCCACATCTCACTGTTGGGGACCAGGTCACCCTAGTGGCTGAAAAACTACGAGCTCCATTTTTTTAAATTTTACTCCCAGTAGTTACATTTTTCATGACTTCATTCTGGCTGACGTTCAAAGCCAACGTGTGGGATTAAGATGATGATGTAATGTTAATCTACAGTGTGATCTCAGTAGTTTGTCTTGGAAATCCCTCTACTCTGAGGGAGAGTGAATCTGTGACGTTCCTGGTGTGAGCGACGACACGTGATCGTGAAGTTGTTGGTAAACTTACGTCTCAGACCGGATCAGATCAGGACGACGCGGTCGACTTCTCGGTTCTTCAGGAACACATTATGTTTATGTGAATATTAATGAGTTTGACACGGGCCTATTAACATACCATGAATGATAATGATGTGAATTTAGGATGCTCATTACATATGTATTAAATGAATAGCAGGTGGTGTAATCTGAGTAATTTGTGGAGATATGCAGTCGCTGGGATGATGGACGGTGTCTGGGGAAGACAAGCCGAGCCGACCGGTGGATCTACTGCAGAGTGAGGAGAATTTAGGCTCATTATAAAAGATTTCCCTTTGCCTCTTATTTCACTTGGACATTTTTATGTTTTTTTTATTTTCTACCTCATTGCAGCCGTGAGCTGCCTGCTGATTTACACACACTGGCAGCGAAGCACAAAGGCCTCAAGAGACGGTGCCCTCTACCCCGCCATTTTTTTCACTCCCCTTGTTCCTCCACCCTCAGTCTTCCTCTCATTGCCACCTCCACCACCACCAGCAGCAGCAGCAGCAGCCATCTCCCTATTGGCTGAGCTGGATCTGACCAAAGAGCTCCCCCTCTGCTCGTTCCTCATCTCTAACAAGACGTTAGTCTGGCAGGGTAGTTATTCGCCCATGATGTGGCACACTGAGGGACGGTTCCCCTGTGCCAGGACACAAATTCATACAGGGATGAGTAAAAGTCATGGATCACTAAAGACATCCCACGATAGTCTACTCCATTTCAGAGCCATTACGCTAATGTCTGAGCTCATTACTGCCACCAGGGCTCTTCTCTGTAAAACCTGCGCACATTCCAGCAGTGGAATAATTAGCATTTGTATAAATATAATTCCACAGTCTCCACAGGTGAATATTCCGACAGGGAATGTTATTTCAGGGAATTATTTCGCCTCTCTCCCTCGGCTCAGTGCTCCAGTCCTCGGCAGGAGAGCGCTTCGATGTTTGTTCGACACGGTACAGTAATCGCAAATGTTCTCGGTAATTGCAAATGTCCGCGCTCCAAGAGGTGACAGTGACGTGGAGGAGATATAGCAGATATACAGTTAGCCGTGCAGGACCGAGCGTCGGTGCCAGAACTGTTGGTGACGTTGATGTTTGATGAATGATGGATTCAGCCCTGAGGTGGAAAAGTCACCAAGTAGGTGTCAGGAAGTGGTCAGGACGTACGCTCGCTCCTCTTCATCGTCTTCATCCACTGGTACTGAAGACTGTATTCAGAAGAACAGGTCGAAGGTTTCTCCGTGTAGTCTCTGAGTCAGGACAGCTGAGATAATCATAAGGAGTTGATCGTCTTGCGTGTTTTTGATTAGGCAGACCTCGTTTAAGATGTTTATTTTGATCAGTTTTATATGTTATTAAGACTATGAAATGATTATTTATTTGCTTCATCACATGGTAGCCATGGAGTAATCCCCATGATCCTAATTGAGACAGAGCGTTGGAGATGGTATTTTAAGCTTGAGGTGCTTTGGTGAAATGAAAGAAAAATCCTTCCTGCGTGCAAATGTGGACGTTGGAATTATGGGATGCTGTAAAGTTCAATCAAATAATTAATTAATTTGGACAACCCATATATTTATATATATTTTATTTATATGTTTCCAATGCTTTGATTGTTTTTGTCATTTTATGGAGTTTGGACTTTTTACTCTTTTACGCTTTATCTATTTTTCATTTAAACTTGAAATCATTCAAACTGATTTTTTATTGATTGATTATCTTATTCTGTTCTTCGGTGAAACATCCAGGTTTTATTCTGCATTCATTCTCTACAACTTGGCATTTCCCAGGCGTGTGTAGACGTTGTATATCCACAGCACCGGGACAGATGTGATGTCTGAAAATGCCTATTAGTCCGTCAGCCTGTAGGATCCGTGTTGCCCTCATTAAATCACCACAGTGTATTGGCATGAAGTGCAGAAGACCTCGATAAATTGTTCACAGCTAAGGCGCGTGCTATTAACAGTTCAATTAATCCAACACTGCACCCCCCCCCCCCCCCCCCCCCCCCCCCCCTTCATCTGTCCCCTGTGAATGTGATTGTCTTGCTGTTTTACCAGACTGCACGTCACCATTACCAGCCCGGGTCATTACTGTATCGCTGCTGCTGGCCTGTAGCTCTGGCATCGTTCCTTATGATAAGCCCCGCTCTCATATCTGTTGGAACAGCAGCTGGGCTTCTCTGATATCGACTCATCCCGGTTCCAGAGTTTCAGTCAGAGAGATTTAATATCTGGAGTGGTGCTGAACTCCTCTAGCTACTAATGGATTCTGTATAATGTGGCACTTAAAATGCATTAGCTGTGTCTGATTTATCTGTAATTTGCCTCCATTGGAGCATATCTCCTTCAATACTTTAATTTGTTTGTTTTTTTGGTGTAGTGAGAAGAACAGTGATCGGTGAGTTCCCGTTGTTATGTTTGAGTCTAACGGTGTGGATCTGCAGAGTGGATCCAGTTTGAGTCTAGGAATTTTACCGTCTTCACACAACAAAGCTGGGACGACGATGACTGAGGAATTTTACACAACAGAGCTGGGACGACGATGACTGTGAGCGAAGCACGAGGCCACAGACGTACAGACGTACAGACATACGCTGATCTCATTTTGAGCAGTGGTAGCAGGAAGACTTGCTGAGCTGGTCGGAGGCAGATGGACGTCTCCCACAGGGGCCGTCTGACTTTATCTTTCCCACTAAAGTTTCATGTGTCAAACAATAAATGCAGTAATTAGGTTTAACTGAGCGGAACCATCATGGAAATGTTGTTTCTTTAATTTCCTGCTCATCTCTGGCCACCGTCCAATCACAAAGTCAGAGGGCTGCCTGTGGTGGGCCAATGATTGGATGAGTTTTAGAACGAGGTCAGTGATGGTCAACAGACAGTTGGCCACGGTCACCATAGGTACTGTCGTAGTGTTACTACTACTGTTACTACCACTGACTGTACTTCAGTTACAATGAAGACTTTACTGCATTTACTGCAACAACAACAACAAAAAACCCAACAATAACTACAACTACAACTTCTCCTCTTCTCCTCCTTCTACTTCTAATCTCCACCTAACAATCTCCACCCACCTCCCCTGATCACCTGCCTCTACCACACCCTGTTCTCCATTTTTATGTCCTTCCAAACCTCCATCCATCTTCCATCTTCTGCCTAACTGGCAGCTCCATCTCCAACATCCTTTCTCCAGTATATTCACCGTCTCCTCGGGGAAATTAGATACCCAAAAGTGAAAATTCTGACACTATACACTACAACGTGGACAACGACATAAAACGTAGACTCTATCATTCCATCTGACTATTATTAATTTCCACCCTCTGTGTTTTTGTTCGGTGGCTGAGAACCCACAGAGGAGCACATACGGGGGGACATGCAACTTCAAAGATCATTAATTACCACCTCATATCAAATGGATGATCTTCCTGCTTTATGGCAGGAGCACTAACCACTCATCCACCAAGACGGCCCTGTCACAGAATCTTCCTGGAGGAATATGAAAAAAGAACCAGTTGTAAATTTGCATTTCTTCGCTGATAAGACGTCAGACTTCTGAAATGATTTTGTGAGACTTTTACAGGAGGACAAAACCTCTGAAGATATAGATGTAAAGAAGTCACACTGGAGGCCGAAACTCAGGCTAGACTAATATTAAAATCCAAGATTTTAATTTTTCCCGTCAGCGTCCGTTGACTTCTTTACAGTCTTTGTCATCAGAGAAATAAACCCGCTCTGAAAATCCTTCCTAATCAAACACCTCCAGCAGCCTGGGCCGACGTGGTGGGAGGTGCTGCTCCGAGTCGTTAGGCACTGACAAAGACAAAGACGCATGCGTTTACTGCATTAACATACCTGGATGCACCTGAGTTCACGTGTACACCCACACATGGCTGTGAAAGGACGTTCCACCCCCCGCCCCGCAGTTTGATTTTCAGGCTTTCCTACTCTCTCCACTCTGAGGCTCTGAGGTGACATCACCCTTCCTGACCTTCCTGGTCGCAGCCGTTCTAATTAGCCGTACAGATTTGTAAGTTCACGTCCAGTCTCTGTATGCCGGTTTTTATCTCTGTATAAGGAACCATAAAGACCGTGTTCCTCTCTCAGGGAGAACACGCACAGAGATGTGTGGCGCTGCTGTAAAGGCTCTCACGGAGCGAAGAAGTGACAAATAGAAAAGGTGGCCTGTCACTGCAGCTGGCAGTTTGCTCAGCAGGGAGCAGTATAACCTGTCTACCTGACGACCTCCTCAGACAGGAGCGAGGCCGCCGGGACTTCACTGGACGTCTTGGTAGCCACAAACCTGACAGGGTGGGGGCGCTGTCTGGGACATTCTGCTCAGATCCCATCACACATGCCACAGCACTTAGCGCTGCAGTGTGTGACGAGCTACACACACTTTATTAAGAGTCACAGAGAGACGTGTGGCTGACAGCGCTGGTGTCACAGTGAAAGAAAACACGATTCACGACGCCTTTTTTTCAGTTTGTTTTGGGTGAAAATAAAGGCAGTTACAGCAGACACAAACGGAAGGATGTTACAATACTGCCATCTACAGGCGAACTGGTCTAATTCTTCTAATAACTGGTTTCAGACCAGATACGTACTTCAAAAATCTTTTAAAAAGTTTTAATTAGCCTACAAGTTCTTTCTTTCTGTACATATTTAAAAAAAATGTGCAAAGGATTGTATGCTATTTTAAGTAATTTCTAAACACTGTCGTATTTTGTGATAATTTAGCTAGCTTCTATGTAGCTATTTCTATGTAGCTGACTGAACTGTAATGAGTGATAAAAGTATGCTACAGAAAAAAAAGAGAACTTTAGGTCATCCTCTTGGCTAACATTTAGCTATTTTGCTATAGATGCACTGTACATTATATTTAAAATATAAACAGTACCAATCACTAAGACAACGTCCATTTACCTTTGAGTTACCCTTTAGCCAGTTTTGCTACTTGATGCCATTTCTGGACAAGCAGTTGTCAAACCTTGGAGTGCATTTGTTTTCAACTTTCTTCAAAGCTGAAGTTTTTTT